ATTTATAAGTCCACTTGATTATATTTACATATCCAAAGTTTTCTCAGTCTCATTAACAAAGTTGCAAATTCTTTTTATTGGTCTCTATTAAATTTGAAGCAGAAGACTAAATACTTCCTCTCAAACAGTATGATCTAATTTCAAGATTAAGATGTAGATTTCTTCTCACACATCTAATACACAAAATGCAACAATGAAAAAGAATACAAATAAAGCAGTTAGCAATAGCTCATTTATTTTATTTAATAGTAAATTACAAAGTGCAACATAAACAAAAACCATAAAATCTAATGAGGAACTCCAAATGGAAGTGATAGTAGATATTCATAGTATGATTAATTGTTAAAGTTCTAACTTTAAATGTTCTATCCATGTTGTTTTATCTCTGAAACTCAAATGAGGTTCAATTATGTTGAGATTTTAAATCCTTGACTGAGGAAAAACTGTTTAAAGTGTTAATAAGGACAGACAAGGTAGAATATTGTTATGAAGATCATAAATAATGTATCTAAGAGCAGTAATCACTTGAACAAACACTAGTAAACAGTACAGACAGCAGTACAAATATCAAAATATATGCATGATGTTGTAGTGCAAATGATGTTGGAATACACATAATTTACAGGTTGTAAATTATCACTTTATGCAGATCGGTTTGTACCCTGATGTGCCCTTCTCTCTGGAACAAGATAAATCTAAATTATCAGACCACACAACTTTCTTCTGTTTCTCCGGAAACCAATTTTTATGTTCTTGGAAAGGTTACAAAGCCATTTTCAAAGTAACCCAGACAACCTGCAAATGGAGAAAACATAAAACAGAGGTAGACCTTCCCAGGCTGCCCAAATTACATCAAGAGCGCTCGGCTGATTCTCCCAAGAGGTCACATAAGAACAGAACAACATCTGAGCACTGCAGAGCTTACTAAACTCAACTAAGGTCGGTATTTAGAAAGAGACTGGGGGAGAGTAGGGATAATAACTATGTTATTCGTTAATAACAAATATGTTATTTGGACATGTTTTTCTCAACAGGAAATGCACTGAGCTGCTCTGACCTAGAAAGTCAGGAAGGAATTCAAATTGCAAGAGAAGAGATCTGCATCAGCCATAGAACGGACTGGACTGGTTGAGAACACTACACATAAGTAGACAGGTGTTACTACATGAGTTGAAGTCTGTTATGTTGACCTCAGTTTTTGGCCCAATTTACAGACCATTCAGGGTAGGGTTAGAGCTCTTTACATATTTCATCCATCTTCTTTACACCCTTGTCCCTTAGTGGGGTCGGGAGGGTTGCTGATGCCTATATCCAGCTAACGTTCTGGGCGAGAGGCGGGATACACCCTGGACAGGTCGCCAGTCTGTTGCAGGGCAATTTGGAGAGGCCAATTAACCTGACAGTCATGTTTTTGGACTGTGGGGAAAACCCACGCATGCAAACTCCATGCAGAAAGACCGGGGCTGGGAATTGAACCCAGAACCTTCTTGCTGCAAGGCAACAGCTCTACCAACTGCGCCACTGTGCAGCCTCTTTATATGTTTATACATATTTAAATGAATTAAGAATTTGTTTTGAAAACTCCCAGTGTCTCTCTGTCTTGTTTGTTAGGCTTGTAATATTTCACTCTGTGTAAAGACTATAACGAGTTTCACGTTCTGAAAGGAGTGACAAAAAGCATCAAACTTTTTCATAATAATCAAATGTTTTGAGATGTACCTGTAATGTGACTACAGCTGCTTACTGTGGTTCTATCCTTTTGGAGAGATGCACTCTCAGGAAAATCCAGTACAATAGCTGAGTTTAGAGGAGAAATTGGAAGTCAGTGCAACAGCATCCATCAACTTTTCCCAGAATTGGTGTACACTTGTAATTTATGGCATTTCTGCCCATAACCAGCATTTATTTGTGCTGTGCATGCTCTGTCTTCCTTATGTAGCCTGGATCTGTGGATAATATTCTCTACAGCAATAAACAGCTGATCAAGATAAAGAGGGTACTGTCAACAGAGGAAATGAATGAAACCTAGAGTAGAATCATACTGCTCCAGATAATAGAAAATGCTTTTAGTAGCAGGTATTTGATGGAATGGATTTGAAGAAAAAAATTAAGGAGAAGATTTTAAACAAGATGTAAAAAGCTTTGTCTACCACACATTTTTTGCAGTCTGTTGTGCTTGATAATTTTTAATTTATTTATTTATAATTATTTGGATGTATTTTTGTTTTACTCTTTATGTTGATTTCAATTCATATTAATATTTTACTCCGAGTTGTTTTCATATTTAATCTTATTTTACAGTTGTGTCTCTCTGATGTCCAGGAAGAACGTATATTAATCTTGAAGGCTCTCAGTTTCTGCTTAGCCATCTCTTACATTTGGAATAATCTGTATTTGTATGGGGAAATTTTTCTGCCACAGTACAAGAGCACAGGGAGAAACGACGACCTGAGCTTTCTGCCCCATGTTACACTAAACATCCGCTAGCAGTGTGCTACTGATCGCTAACAGCTACTGATCTTAGGCAGGAGTTTGTTCACCCAACCAACTCCCTACATCCAGTGCGTGGCGCAGGTTACTACAATCGATAGTGACCACACAGGCACACCCACTAGAAGGGATCAAACGCACCCAGTGCAACACTTTCTTTCTATTGGCTGAGAGGTTGCTAGGCGACGATGCATTTTTGTTCTAGAAACAAGCGGAAAATGTTTCGTAAGTGAGCAGAGAGTCGGCGCAGAGACTAAGTCTTGAGAGCGAGGAGAAGTTTTGAGAAGAAAGACGAAGTCCTGCTTTCAAAATAAACATGTAAGCAAAAGTATTAAAAGTTTTGATAGCAAAAGACATGAAATCCTGCTTTTCAGACTGAAAATGTGTGCTCTTGGATCATGGCAGAAAAATTCCCCCATACATTTGTGAACCTCTTCTGGGACTGAAAACACTCATATTGTTCACCAGAATGTAATTTGGTGGAGATGATTTTCCATCTCTTTCTTTTTTACCTGATCAATATCAGTTCCTCTTTCTCTTGTCATCCTTCAGCCACCTCCTTTTATTTACTTGGATACTTAATCAAATAGTGTGTGTGTTTGTGAAGTTCAAATTATGATAGATCATGTTTTCTTTTACTACAGTTGAGTGTTTGTTCACACCTGATTGTCACATTTGAAAGTATTTGTTAATACCAAAAGCTCTCACACAGCCTGATGAATGACATGCAAGACTATGCTTTAGCTTTTGATTTTTTTTAATAAATTGTGGGCAAGTGTTAAAATTAAGCTGAAGATGCCTAAGGGTGGATAATTCTTTAATTGTAGAAATATCTGTGTATACTTGTGCATACAATCCAAATAAGTACTTAATAAAGAATGGTAACATAGCTCTGTTTCTGTATTTTGCAGTGTCAGTGTAAGTCCACTCTGTAAAATCATTAAATGTGAGAAGTTTTTCTTGAGATTGATCCAAAGTTTTCAACATAAACATAATTTGTACAACACACACATTTATAGTCTGAAATCTGACCTCACTATTCGCCATGAGAGGCTGTGCTGTAAGAGCCGGCAGCAGAAACGAGGATATCAGAGGTGGCAACATGTAATTGTTCCACGTTCTTCATCTTTTGACTGTAATTGGACTGATACATTTATGCACCGGCTTATTTCACCATTAGAGGGTATAAATAGAATCCTGTGTTATCACTGGGGATTCGGTGTTGAAAAGATGCTGGTGTGGGTTACTATTTTTGCTCGCCGTTACTGTGGTAACCGCAGGGCTCTGCAGGCATCTGAGTGTTTGCTGTTGTTATTTTGTGCCTCTGCTTCATAAACCCCCCGTCACCTTTCTCTGTGTGAGATCAGCGAACGCGAGAGGATCCGATTCGCTCAGATTCACGTTACATATAAAACGTCTCGGTCACTGAAATACAAACGTTCCCTTTTCTGTTTAATGTTGCTGAGCGGAAAACTTTATACACAAAATGCAGAATAATAATAAAGCTGACAATAAAAAAAAAAATCAATTATTATTAATGGCAATTTCCAGTGAAGACTCAGACTTATAATATTACACCTAGCTGCTCAATGTTAATGCAGGTTAGATTTTTAGGCCTACTAGTCTATTTAGAGCATGTGGTAAAAAGCTGCCAAGCAAAGTTGTAATTGAGTTGCAGCAAACTTAGAAGGTGATTTGTTACTCTGCAGCAACTCAATTTTCTCACCACCAAGTGAGACTATAATCAGTCAGAACGCGCTTCGGCGGGGATCCTTCCTAACACAGTCAGACTCCACTGCGTTAGAAACCAGATATGAGCTGCAAAACTCACAAACTAAGAAATTTATGTGTATTTTTCTTTTTTATTTGGTCCATGCTTTACTGCTTTTTAAGAGAAATATTACTGAGTGGCACTAAAATACATGTTATGATAGCAAATCAGGCAGCAGTGCCTTTCTATTCTGTGTTGAATGTGTATTTTACTGAAAGTTAAATAGTTCAGTAGAGATTTTAAGCAATACAGTTACTTTTCTTTGGTTCATCTATTCTAGAAGAGTTGAGTGATAATGATATTTTAGAGTCCAAATCAAGGCCACACTTTGGTAAAGTAACAATCATCTGAACTGGAAATATACAATATAAAAATAAACAACCACTTAATACTTCAATATACGTTTTTATTGTAAAGAGATTAAATTAGTTTCTGCTGGCAGCAATGAAAAGTTTTATTTGTGTATATATTGATTAACGCAGCTTAAATTCTTCCACGTCAATCTTTCCATGCAGGTTTTAGTTGTTTCAGATTAATGTTAAAAAATATGATCAAAATGAAATTAACATGCCAGAACACTTTTCTGAAATATGAACGATAATTTTACTTAAAGAAGTTTGTGCTTTAAGAGAAACCCCCCCCCCCATATTTTTCATGCTTGTGATGCAAACTTCTGAGGGGGAAGAAGGAAGAAAATATAGTTTTACAAAACAAACTCTAAAAAGCATAATGTAGATTCATCTTTCACATGGGAGTGAATGTGTGATGTGTGCTCATCTGTTTTATTTTTATTGATAAGAACTGAAAACCATGTATATTAACGACCTGTTCCATCCAGTTTTTATAAGTAAAGCATGTCATGAGTGTTATATTTGTCCATTTTACACATTTCCATATTTAATTGAACACGGCAGAAATGAGAAACTGAAAAAGGCAAAGGGAAGCTCCACAACAGATTCTCAGCATCTCCTCTCCCAATCACCGCTAAGCTTCCCAGCCAGATGAATTCGTCAGTGAAACCAAATTAGTTCTTGAGAAGTTTATAATTAGATTTCTGCTCCAAAAAGTCTTATCGGGTGTTCATAATCTGCCCACTCTTTAATCAGAGGCGACCAGCAGATCAGTATCTCTGCATGGGCCTCCTGGTGAAAAGCCAACAATTTACACGTTTATCTCTTTTGAGATTCTTTCTGGGTTTTAATGGCCTGCCCTGCAGGCGCCGCCTTCATTTACAAATCCGTTCTGTCAGATTTACTTCTACACCAGATGTAATGTCAGAGTTTTTATTATTATTATTATTATTATTATTATTACAGATTTCATTTCTTCAACACAGGAAAAATATCTTCTGTCCACTGAATGTCTCTTGTGTCTTTAAAATGGCTTAGAAAATCTGTGGACGTTCAGAAAGTTTAGCCGAACTGGACATATCAGCTAATATTTAATAAATTTCTGCAAAGAATATTATTACAAACTTTTTAGCATGGCAAAGAAAATCTAATAATTGTCAGGGTTTTTTTTATGTGTCCTCATGGGAGACACGTTATTTAGATACGTTTTTTCCGATGAGATAATGATCGTAAAATTTCTTTAAAGATGGTTTTGGAACAGATGGAGCAGCCAAGCATCAGGCTTCTGGAAAATCTCCATTTCAACCTTACTAAGAATAGACAATAAGTCAGATTTGAGACAGGAAATCAACTAATTTAAGTTCATTGTGAAAAGACGAGTGCTCAGCCAAAAAAATTGTGGTGTCTCTGTAAGTTCCTAAAGTAAAATTAGTGTGGAGTGAATGTATGTCTCTAACCCTGTGGATATACTTTTCCTTTATGCGGATTAGATCAAATTTACAAAAACTTTTGCACCAAACACAGTAACTGCAGGTTGTTGGTGCAGCAACAACCAAAAATAAACATAAATTTCAAACCAGTGAGGCATGCATGTGAAGTTTCATTATTAGATGGTAATATACAGTGTGTCCATGTGTGTGTGTTTGTGTGTGTGTGTGTGTGCATGTGTGTGTGTGCGTGCTCGTGTCCTAATGCAATGTACCTTTGTGAGAACAGAGATAGCAGAGCTCATTAAGTGAAGCATCTATCTCTTTGAGTCAGTGTAGCCTCCCTCACTTTGTCCCACGTCTGTCGGCAGAGAAAAGGATGTGACTCAAAGCCGTCTGGATTGATTGGTGACTGTTGGCGCATCAGGTTTCTCTCTTATCAGCTGAGATATAATTGATTTATGGAGAGCTGGTTGAATCCAAACAAGGACATAAGTGTGCTGATTTAACCACTTAAGAGAAAAACAGGAGCACATGGAGCAGGATGCTCTGTGAGAACAAAAGAACATGTGAAAATCCGCCTGCATTATTCAGATGCAGCTTCTTTTCCTCGTCTCTTTGTTTCTTTCTTCCTTCATTTATGTTTCTTTCTGTCTTTCTTTCATTCCCTCTTTCCCTCCTTCTTTCTTCTTCCTCACATTCGGCTAAAACAAAAGCTGTGATGCATTGATGATATCATTTACCAGCCAAGAGCCATGATCATTACGTTTCTATTAGCTTCATCCTAACTGATGGCCAAAGTCTGTGCCTCGGATACAAGTGCAGTCACCATGGCAACCGGCATCACCTACAGTAAGGAAGCATCTAGCCAACCTGTTTTGTTCACTCACATTGCACATGTTGTGCCACCTCTTTAATATTGAAAATAAATAAATAAAAACTCAGCATGTTTCTCTACTCAAATTCTTTTAAGAATGTGATGCTAAAAAATGTTTCATCCTTTTTTTTTATCAGTATAGTAAACATTATCAGTATACTGCAGTGAAGAATTCATTCTATTGGCATTTTTTCCCCCTTTTCATTTAAAATCTGTTTGGATAAAATGCTTTAACTTAGTCATTTGATAATTAAAACTGGCAGCAATACCATTTAATTTAGTTTTATTGGTCACAAATCAAAAGTGTATTATTTTGAAGCTTTAAAATAATTGGTTCCAAATATTAGCTTTTGATTTAGCTTTAAGCTGGTTTAGCATTTTGTTTTGACACCTCTATGGAAGTCCAAAAATAACAAAATTAAATAAAAATAAAGTAATAATAAAGTAGTATTAAAATGTGCCCTTCACCTATCCATATGATGCATCTCTCCAGCGGTACAAGAAGCAGTGTACAGTCTGCACACACACACACAGACACACACTCTCTCTCCTGAGGACAATCCACAGTTACCAATGAATCTAAAAGTTATACAAGCTCAATGCAGAAAACCCCGGTGTGAACAATTTATAAACCATCTTAATTAGTTTCTGTAATGAAAATACGTTATATTTTTCATTTAGCATGAGAAAACGCCCTGCTGCAGCCACTGTCTTACCTCACATTGACTACAAAGAAATAATTTATTAGAAATCTCCTGTTGTCTACAGATGTTGGGAACAGTTTATCATGGAGCACCGAAAATCAATAGGAATAAACTGTTTGGTTAAATATTTTACACATGCAAAACTTTGCACCACTACTATTTTACCTATCTTTGTGTGTTACTCAAATAGAGCCACTAAAATCTCAACTCACTGTAATATTAAGAAGAAAACAGAAGGCATCATTAAACGGTTGTTCTTGTTTTTCATGCTTTTCTTCCATTGTTTTTAATTTAAGTTAATGTAAAGCATTGCGTCTTGTTTGTTTAACCAATAATCTTGTCGTATCTGAAAAAAAAAAAGGTTTACTATCATTGTTATTATAATTAGTGGGACATTGTGGTACTGTATATTTCAAAGTCTACAACTGACTGAAATCCGCAGGTTGCTGTCCGTGGTGCTGAAGCCTCTCCAAACACACACCTACATTAAGGACAGCCTTTCAGTGGAGGCTGCTTTGCGCATGCGATGAAGTAATGCGGGGCCACTTGTTTAAACAGATGGCCACATCAAGAGCAGGTAGGCTGCATGCGCATTTTTATACATACGCTGAAAACCGTTCAAACCGCGCTTGCAGGCTTTATTTTCCTGCCTGCCCGCCTCCGCTGCTTTGGTTGAAAGCAACAGGCTGCAGCACCGATGTGATGCCTGTACGCTGAAAAGCCGCACCACCTGTAACTGCAGCCTCCCCACCTCTCCTCCGTCCTCCGGACTCCCCATGCCGACACCGAGGATGAAGAAGCAGAACGTCCGGACCCTCTCGCTCATCCTCTGCATGTTCTCCTACCTGCTGGTCGGCGCCGCGGTGTTTGACGCGCTGGAGTCCGAGTCGGAGAACTCCCGCAGGCGCATCTTGGAGCAGAAGCGCAGTGAGATGAAGAGGAAGTACCGCTTCTCCGAGGACGATTACCGCGAAATCGAGCGAGTGGTGCTGCAAGCGGAGCCCCACCGCGCCGGGAGGCAGTGGAAATTTGCTGGCTCCTTTTATTTTGCCATTACGGTCATCACGACCATAGGTAAGTTGGGGCGCAGCTTTTTCCCCCTCCTTTCTTTGGAAGTATGGATGTTTTACTTTAATTCAGCTGAATTTCAAAGAAATATTTGCCTCATGCTGTACCGCCTACTGTTGCTACAATATTCCTCTTCCTTCTGTTTACCTCTCTGCATTAAGGGTATGGGCATGCTGCACCAGGAACAGACGCAGGAAAAGTCTTCTGCATGTTCTACGCTGTTCTAGGCATTCCTCTCACTCTTGTGATGTTCCAGAGCCTCGGAGAGAGAATGAACACGTTCGTCCGCTACCTCCTCCACAAAATGAAGCAGTGCCTGGGTTTCAGACACACCGAGGTGTCCATGGAGAACATGGTCCTGGTGGGCTTCCTGTCCTGCATTGGAACACTGTGTGTGGGAGCCGCAGCCTTTTCCCACTTCGAGGGATGGAGCTTTTTCCATGCGTACTACTACTGCTTCATTACCCTCACCACTATTGGCTTTGGGGACTTTGTGGCCCTGCAGAAGAAGGAGGACCTCCAGGAGAAAACGCCTTACGTCGCCTTCAGCTTCATGTACATTCTGGTGGGGCTGACGGTAATCGGAGCTTTTCTCAATTTGGTGGTCCTGCGTTTCCTCACCATGAACACCGAGGATGAAAGACGGGATGCTCAGGAGAGAGCTTCGCTGAAGAGGGACAGGGGTCTTTTAGAGGGGCCCACCGGCCCCCGCGTTGTAGGTGAACAGAGCCGAGATAGCCGCAGGGAGAGGACCGGCAGGGACAGCATGGTGCACGGCCGCAGCCACAGCACACTCTTCCTCCCCATGCAGGAGGGAACCAGTCGCACCAACCTCATCCCTTCCCCAGCTGAGGACACAGAGAGGCAGGAAAGTCCCTGCAGGCACAGGCTGCATTTTCGGATCAAGCCAGGCAGACGGAGGGAGGAGACGAGCGTCAGCTCCCTCTGCTCCTCCTGCGTGTGTTATCGCTCAGAGGTTTGTGACGACCCCGTGGTGAACCGCAGCAAACACCACGGAGGCCACATGAACTCAGTTTACTACAACTCAGTCTCCTATAGGATCGAGGGCTGCTCGTCGAGATCCAGGGACAATACTGGACTCTCCTCCCCTGGAAGCACACTGTCGCCTGAGCACAGCTTCCAGGAGTTCAGTAGTTTAAGGAGGAAGTCGGTGTAAAGGGCATTATTGTAAGGGGGGCAGGGGGAGTCTGCAACGACAGTAAACTGTATCTATTTATTTGTTAGATTTTATTTTGCGCATGACAGAATTCTGTTTGTTGAATAAACTGTCTCTTGTAGCTACTGAAACTGATTTTATTCATAAAGCAAGAATGTCTTTCCTCCTTGTTACTACTGTACAAATATATATATATGTTGTGGGTTCTGCTATTTTGCTTGCATGTAGCAATGCATGCTAAAAAGAATGTAAAGCACTCAATGTGAATGCAGGAGAGCTACATTTAAAGTTCTTTTTTTTTCTTTTGCCAAGTTTAACACAGAGATGAAGACTCAAATCTTTGACTTAAAGACTTTGCATTCTCTGCAGTAACTGAGGAATCTGTCGGTTTATTCAAAGAACAAATTTAGTCCAAATCAGAACATTTCAAACTTCACAGCAAAGTGAAGAGCAGAACTCTGTTCTGAAGTTGACAAAATACAACATTTCCACTTTTTCCTGGTTGTCATTGATGACAACCAGCTCAAATTTCTGATGAAAATAAACATTATTTCCACACGATATGTTGAGAACAAGCTGCAAAAACTCAATCATGTCATCCTTTCCTCACAGCTCCAGGAGAGAGAACACATTTCTTGGTTTATGCAGAGTATGTAAAGGTGACTTCAGACTCGACTTGCACTCGAGGTTTGGGACTCGAGTCTCATTTAATGGAGGTGAAGAGTTAACCTGTAGCTCATTTTAGTAGATGACTAATAATGATACCTAGTAAAGTTTAAAGTTGGTCTGTTTTGGTTTCATGCTAAAACTGATCATCATTTAGTTCAGTAAGTAAGACGACAGCGTAGCTCTGATGCAATAGGGTTGCGTTCGATTAATTAATCAGGGATGTTTACAGACCATGGACCATTAATGGCTCATAGCTACTGGTTCATATCTAATGTAGCATCATAATAATGACTATATGGATGTCTCTTATTTTGAGCTGTGACTCTGGGTTATTTGAGAACGCACTCAGTTTACCTCCAACGTCTTTTTTAGATTGGTAACAGCATTAAAAAGTAGGGGTGGGCAATACAGACTTAAAAGTTTTATCACAATATTTTGTACAATTGTGATTATTTTTTATCAACAAAAGTGACAATACGAACTATGTATTACTTCAGTTTAACTTAATAGCTGTTGACTGTATGACAGAACAATTGTAGCTCCACAAACACAAATACTGCACTTAAGGAACGCCAGTCACACAAAGGTCACAGTAACTGCGTTTAGTCATATTTTCAATTTGATTAATGTTTATTGATCTGGACAATAAGGACAGTATTTTTTAAGCATCAATAATTTTAATTTATCATGACAACAATAGATCAAAATCCTTATCATGATAAGAAATTCATCAGGAGAATGATAAACGATACGATAAATTCTCACCTCCATTGCAAAGATTTGTACTGTCCTGATTCATTGAGCAATTTCATATTTTATTTGGGGAGACATTTTGTATCTCACAATTAGGGCTCATAATAATGAGTTATATCCATAACAGTAACTCTGTGGTTTATGCCATGCATCAATGTGAGAACGTTCACAGTATTTAGAGACTCGTGACGTGACTTGAACTTGGAAAAATGACTTGTGAACATCTCTGCTTCAATAAAAGGAATGGGTATTTTGCTTACCAATGAAGAGACTTAAAAAAAAAAAAAAAAACCTCAGAGGGCTCTTGCTTAAAGAAAAGTCTTACATTTTCCTGCCATAGAAAGATGATGTCATAATTATAGTTTTATATTTAAAAAGCCTTAAAGATGTTTGACCAAGCACATCAGATAAGTGACTATTTTACACACGGCGAGAATAATACAATATTTTATTACCTGACATTGGAGTGAGGTGGTGAACACTCCGATGAATAAAAAACTTCATGTTGGTAGTTGAACTAAAGTGGATGTAGCTTGTAACATATATGTAGCAGGTTATTAAGGTCTGCAGAAGTTTTCATCGTCCAGCGACTGAAGGTGTTGTTGTCCTGACTGATGTCATTCTCTTCCAGTATTGTTTGACTAAACCAAATGAGCGTACCGTTGAATGTGGTTTTTTATTTAGACTCTTTCTTATTGTACGTTGTTATATGATTTTTTTTTAAGATTCTGTATTCATTTGTCTTCCCTTCAAATGTGTGTTTTTACTTTCAGAGAATAAAACCTTGTAACTATTAGTCTGACCATCAGTTGAACTGACTTGAATTAAGCTAAAATAGCAGGAAGACTCTGAAAATAAAATAATTATTGGTGTTGTGAGAAATCCTGTTTGGATGGACGTCAAGAAATACTCGTTAAAGTAAATGATCTTAGTTCATGTGTGTAACCTTTGCAGTAATTTTTCTAATCTAGTTTCTTTTCTCCTAAAATCTAAACATGAATGTTGAAAGAATTAATTTTCAACTTCGATAATAATACAGTTTTACTTATCTTGACTTTTTGGTTTTTATTCTCCATCACATTTTTGTTTGTTTCGCCTTCATGCACCTGAGGTAGAGACCAGAATCCAACATTTTCTGCAAGGTAGTTTGTAGAACTTTTATCAATTTGGTATTAAGTCCAATTGAGAACCGAACAAAACATTTAGAGACCACCAGACAGTCTGAAGATGACCTTTCTGGTCAGACAGCAGCTGTGTGTCAAGATGTACCCCTCTGACAGAGGGTAGTAACTGGTAGCGCAGAGGTCCAAATATGGTTTCCAAGCCCTTTTTATGGTTCAGGTTGACCAGAGCTGGTGGAGTAAATGTGACCCACTTAAGAGTTCTTTCTTTTTTGCCTCTCCAAACATTTGTTACTGCAAACAAACAGGCCAATAAATGGATCTAATTGACATTTGTATTATGACACTTTGAAAAATGTCACACTTAGCTGAATTATTGATGCGTGACCATCAGACAATAGGGCGCTTTCTGAACTAGTCAACAATTACACAAAGGATGTGAAAAAGAAAAACAAAGCATAATGAGGGAGAATATTCTCTGAGACAAAGGCAGAACACATTGTAAACACTATTCCAGACATCAGCCTGAACAAGTTTTAGAAACCGACAGGCCAACACTGAACCAAGATGTTTCTGGAAAGATAAATGGAGAGATCAAATAGATTTCTGTTTGACGCGCCGCATCACTCACACCTTTATGAAGCAGTACAATCAGTGCTGATCTGGACTGTTGTTGTTAAGGATGAGCTGGTTCAGCCATTAAGAGCTGAAGATGAAAAATTATCTCCTGGATGTGCTGCAAATTTGTCAAGAAAATAATTTATCTACCGGTGACGGCGAAATAGGACAGAGAAAAGACTTTAGCTATTCAACCTCTCACAGCCAACTAGCTAGGTTGGTGGAATCAACTAACTCACTCATTCTTTGGTTACCTAGCAACATGGAAGCTGAGGAAGGGGTGGTTACCTAGCAACAGCCTGTTGAGTAACTTGCGCAGCAGCAGTTTAAAGTTTCGCCACTGTGCCTCATAACTGCACAATGATGTGAAATGAAAACTGTGGCTATAACAGGAAAAGCCACTTCACCACTTTGGCAATATTTCATATATTTAAAAAAAGTGAAACATTTGATTCCACTAACTAATGTCCAGCACAACCATCTGACTTCAGAAGCCACCCAAATAGTGGAGAGCAAGAGGTTTGTTAGAAAATATTAGTGAACAAATGTCTTTCTGAAGGTCAAGGAACACATCAGATCAGGGAAAACATTGTGGAGAGTAAAGCAAGGTTATGTTGTAAAACATTTTCTCAAGCTGTCAAAACCCAGCACTGGAGGAGCTGCAGAGATCCACAGCTCATGTGGGAGGATCTGTTAACAGAATATCTATTGGTTGTCCTGCAAAAAACAATAAATCTGACAACAAGTCTGACTTTTTTGGAATAATGAGATAAAGAAAGTCAGTGCTGAGAAAGGAGCCTTGTATGCAGTTGGCCACAAGACATGTAGGAGAAACAGCAAAAATATGAAAGTAGGTGCTGCATAGAGGTAATCAAAGGGATCTGCAGTGGAAAAATGACAGTAAACATCATCATCTGAACACAAACTGTGAGACAAAACAATGGAGTGGCAGCGTAGGGATAATTTTCCGCATCAGTTGATGGAAAGATCAACTGGAGCAAAATACAAAATAGCACAGGAAGATAAGCTGTTAAAATCTGCAACTTTCCTCCTCTACACATTTAAATGCTTTATATGAAGGAATATACATATTAGAATGATGTAGTCACAGTACAAATCTCAATCCAGTTGAGAGAATGTGTGGCAAGACTTGAGAAAAACTGTTCAAAGAGGCTCTTTATCCAATCTTATTTTGCAAAAACGAAGGGGTACATTTTCTTTACACATAAACCTAAATACTTCCAGCTGTAATTGTGGCTAAATGTGATTTTACAACATCCTGTCACTTCTAAGGTATAAAATATTAGACACTAGAATGATAAAAAAAAAAGAAGAGAGAGAGAGAGAGAGATGAACCTTTACTTGCTTGGTCCTAACTATAACCATCCCTAACTTCTTCTTTTTACCATAAAACAGGAGAACATAATGTAACATTTCCACTTTCTTCCATTTGCTACTTTTAATAGCTGATTGCAATTTGAAAGAAAAAATGGAAATAAAGTGGTCTTTACACAACTGTCTCCAAGCATCCATTTCAAACCATCTGCTGGTTTGCTTGAAAAGCCATCTACTTCACACATAAATGTAAAAATGACTGGATAATAGCATCAGAAATGGTGATTGGATATTAAATACCATCTGCTGAGGCTGCATGTGGGTGCACATGGTGAAATTCACTCCGCTCTCTCTGTCACATTCGTGCATCTTCCTTAACTTCAAGTGAAATGGAGCTACATTTTGTCCTGTTCTCACTACAAGGCACATGGGATTATAATCAATATTTTTTTCATCATTACAGGGAAAAGAAAAGTTTAATAAGTTAGGCAAGAGGGCCCTCTTTAGGTGGTAAAAAATATGCTTTGGAAAATTGCTCCTAAAACCGATCTTAAAAATGGTAAATAATGGTTTGGCCACTAGAGGGCAGACTGCGCCCGTGCAACAGCTTGCTGAAACACCTAGAGGAAAAATATGTTTTTCTAACATATCCTGATAGAAAAGGTAGTTCAGAAATTAATGCTGCATAAAAATTGAACAATATAACTTTATTTCTTTTTTTTTTAAATCATTGTCACCTTCAGTGGAGCAACAGAGGAGTAAGCCCTTGTTCCACACAAGCAGATGCTGATAGCTTTGAGTAAAAAATTATCAAAATGCTGCAATTCAGATGCTGATACTGAACACAAACTATGTGGCTCTCATAGAGATTTTTTTTTATTTTAATTTTTTTTAAAGAAGAAAACACCCCCCGACATGCCCTGCTAAACATATGAGACCTCAGCACTGGTCACTTTGCTTGCAAGATGAAAACCGAAGTCACACTGTACAAACACATCTTTCACATAGACAAGGTAATAACACTGCAGCCTGAAGAAAAAAACAACATGGTGGTAGAAAAGAGAAACCCATTAGAGGTAAGCATCACAAGTGCTAACATGACTGATGTCAGTGCAAATATCTGACCTATAAAAAAACATTAAAAGAAGAAAACATTAAACTTTCATGAGAGGGATATACAACTTTTTCAATAAGTGGTCAGTCGTTACCGCTCACATCCAACAATCCTTTTTACTATTCCTGGACCGTTGGAGGTATAAATGTTATGCTTTCACAACAAATACACAGTGGTAATGGGATTTGTCAGGAGCCTTCTCAACAGGACTGGAATGCTTTATGCTCAGTGTTATGCAGAGGTATGTTAACAACTGACATTTTTATCAATACTCAAAATGCCTCTTTGGTAGACCTGATACTTTGGGTGGTAAACAGAATTCAGGCCTGTTATCCTAACACCCCTGTTATACTGTGTTTCCATGGTGTTCACATATATGCAGCTTTAAATGAATAACATTCCAGCATGGCTTCTTTGCATCTGACACTGTTGCATACACAATTTGAGCTCCATCTATAGATTGGCTGCCGCAGATATTTTTCGACATGTTTAAAAATTCTTTTGCATGATCCTCACTTCTTATGGCGTTGTACACACAAAGCCCCAGACGTGAAAAATTTATGCAAATACTTGGAAAAAGGATTAGGAAGGACAAGGAAATGCTGCTACTTACACAACGCTTCGTGACTGCGTGCTAAAGGTTTTTTTTTCTGTCTTGTTGTATACCTGGTCAGTCGAATGTATTTTCTGATGAACCCAGTTTATTTATGATAATAATATGATGTAGGTATTTAAGCATTTAAAATTTCAGTCTTTTTCTTTCTTTGCCTTGGTCGTTCATATCGCTAATTAAACCCGAACGTAATGAGACTTCTACGTCAACGGTTTATGTTCCCAAAGCTACCCGCATGCGCAGAAGCAAACCGTTGACGTCACACAGCAGCGCGCTGTTTACGAAAGTAACACCAGATAGTCACCGTTTATGGATCGCTTTTTAAGTTTATTCAGCAGAGGGAGCTGAGAGAATCGTCACAAGGTTACAACAACACAAAAGACGCTAATTAAAAAATAAATAAATTAAAAAAAAGCACAAGTAATAGCAACCGTGTGTTTTGGAGCAACCAAAGCACAGAAACAGTTTGACGGCACCTTGACAATAACTACTACATATCTGTGATTGAAAGTCCATATTTAGCCTCACTGGACTGATGAACTGTCTGATAAAATTACTCAAAAATGCATTTCTCATTTACGGGCATGTTGCTGTAATTTGATTAGAGGATCAATACCTGTCAAATCAACATTTGCAAACATAATTTCTAATGCAAATTAGGCACCAGTGTTTATACTAAATACATTGATTGAAGCATCACATTACCAGGAACAAACTGTCTAAATAATATAAAAAGAAAGCACTGGCATGATATTCAGAACATGATTTATTTTATGATGATAAATACCAGCAAACTTTTCGAACATAAGAGCTAAAACAGCTTCAAAATAACATAGAGAGTGGCCACTTCACATGTTAATCTCATTTGGATGTTCTTGGTTAAGAGATCCAGGCTATGTAGGACGAATTTTAATATTACTGATCTCTCTACAGATTAATTTTCTAAACCCATATTTACTTCCCTTATTTATTATTTTCTTCTTTTTCAAACAATAAACGTAACCTTG